GTCCTTAAACATAATCTAGTTCCAACCCACTGCCCCACCTTCCAGCAGATCAGGATGCTCAAAGCCCTCTTCAACTTGGCCTTGAACACTGCCAGGAATGGGGCATCCACAACTTCTTTGGGCAAACTCTTCCAGTGCCTCAGCACCCTCACAGTAAAGAATTTATTCCTAGTATCTAATCTAATCACTAATTTTATTGATTTCACAGTAGGCCTTCCTTCCCCTCTTAATCTCAATAGTTGGTATCTCTTCTACATTTTTCAAATAAAGCTCTTTGGCTAAACTCAGGTCTAGGTGAATTCTACATTATATCTATGCTTTTATAAAAAAACTTTGTCATTCACCCTCCTTCAGTTTATGAAGAGCACAGAAGGGTAAGGCAATGAAGTCACCTGGTTGAGAAGATTTTCTTCCTTCTCACACCTACTACTGTTGGTAAGCACAATATAAAATTACTTTATCCATTATAAATTACTGCTGGCTGGTAACCTACTTATTATCTCTTACCATGCAGCTCTGAATTTACTGCACAGCCAAGTGTGATTGGACAGCCTCAGCTGAGACTGTCACAGATGTAGGAGTGAGGTGGGTGCCTGCAGCCCAGGAAACACTGGCATTTCTCACACAGGCCACCCACTTGTTGAGAACAAGGTGTGCTCGTACTCCAAGCACCCGTAGATACCTGCAGTCCCATTATTCAGTACATATCCCAGGCCTCATGCACCTATCACTGAAATCTTTTATGTAGATGTAGTATTACTCATTCCCTGATGGTTTCTTTCATGTCATGGCCTCATGCACCTATCACTGAAATCTGCTATAGATGTAGTATTACTCATTCCCTGATGGTTTCTTTCATGTCACTTATCCTGTGATCTCCACCACAGGACTGCCATATGATTATAGCAAACCCATCAACTGCATTGAAAACCCACTGTTATACATAACCTCGGAACCTCTTTCACTGGGTATGTTACTTTGTTGGTAACTTTCATGATTCCTAAAAGAATAATTCTTGATTCGGACAGTGCCCCAATTGCATCTGCTACTGCCCTGTTTCTCCATGTTGTCATCACCTGTGTTTTGACACCAGGCACCGGGTTACCACTCTGTCAGCAGCTACAACCTGGGTAGCAACTTTGCTGTGTCCAAAAGGACCTTACCAGGAGGGTGAAGTATCAGGTAGCTGGATTTATTCCTTGGGAAATTATATACTGGTACACTTCATTTACATTCAGGTGGAGTAACTGGCCACATCAACTGCTGGTAGGACTGCAAGGCACACTGTTTCCAGCTGAAAGAGCTAAGGAGAGGTAGACAAGTTCTTAAAGGGAAGATGACAGCTCACTAAGTTTAGTAATGAATTGGGAAAAGACACAGACCAATTACTGATTAACAAATTCTGTTGCACCCAGAGAATCAGTCTTGCAGAGACCTTTTCCCTGCACCAAAGCCTTGGAACAGGAGCAGCACTTCAATTCTTTGTGAACATATGGCATTTATTTTCTTAGCAGCATCTCTCAGGTATAGCCTTTTGCAACTGAGCTGGCTCCTGGCACCAAGGACAGCTAAAGGACCTTTCATACTCAGTTCATATCTACAGGAACTTTAAACAGGCTCTTGAATGACTCACACTTTTCTGATACTATAGAAGCAATTCTGGCTAGCTTGGTGGAGGAGATCTGTCCCTACACACATTGAGACATATGGAAAGTGCTTGCATGGATGTTACACCAGCTACCTCCAGTTTTCACCAGGTGAGATACACCTCAGAGCTTGTCAGCGGACTGATCATTGATTCCTTTCCCTTTGCATAGAAAAATGGTATGAAAACAGCATGTTAAGTGCTTCGTAGTACAAAACAGAGTGGTGCATTTCAACTCCTCAGTTTTAACTGACTTCAGTACCTACTGAAAAACAAATTGCCTGCTGTTGGCACAATATCCTAGATAACAAGGATTCAGTTCACTGCCCTGGAAAAGTTCACAGCAGCCCATCTTTTCATGCCAAGATGCACTTAGTTCAGAATCCATGTGCTGGCTGGTCCACATTATGAGGCTACAGATGGTCTCATTTCTGTACACTCCCAGTACCTGCTTTGTCACTAGAGAAGGATAACATCAGGCATACATACCTAGCAGTGGCTGGTTGGTTGGTTTTATCTCCTTAGTTCAGCATGGGTTTTAAAATTCCTAATAGGTGATGAAAGTAATATTAGAGAATATTACTACAATCAAGATCAGATTCTAGCAAAAGGAAATCCACATACCAGCTTAATATCATGACAACCTGTAGTATCATCAGGGCTGACAGGAACAATTCACAGAGAAAAACAAGTGTCTCAAAATGAGCAGAAAGCAAAAAGCAGGATGTAAGGGAATTTACTTCGGAGTATTGGATTTCATGTAGAAATTTGAGTTGCAGTATTCAATCTTTAATAAAATTCAATCTTTAATCAAATAGCTACAGTCTCTGGACATTCTTCTAATACCTAAAATATGTTGCAAAGAGAATGGGAAAGAACCTTTCTTTTTGCTCACAGCTAAGATAAAAAAGGTCAAGACCTGGCAGATGGTAGATTTAGCTTTTCCTACTATCTACCTTAATATTAGTATTACTAAAACCTAGAAGAACTTGGAGAGAAAGGATAATCTTTAGCAATTTACTTCAAAGCAGACAAGTCTGTCCTGCCACATACAGCCAAGATGCAGCTGATGGTGTCACACTCTGGAAAAAACCAAACCAATATTCTTCGTTCCATTTAAGGATTTCTAACGCCACTATTTTTCAGAAACCTTCCAACTGAATATTCAGCTTTGGAATCTGTAATCAAAAACTGCTTTTTTGGATAATCGTTCTCGCTATTGTTCCTGTTGTTACACTTAAGCTACAGACTTGCAAAGCTTACCAGTTTTACAGCATCTGAAAGCTGGTTTGACAATCCCATCATGTAAAAGGGAAGAATAAAGCAGATTTTTCTTCCTCCTACTACTGCTAATGGCTCCTGAAAGCTCCAATTTGTACTCCAGTATGCATGTACTTAAGTGTTAATGTGGCCTTAAGTGTCACAGCAAAATTGAAAAGGTATAATTTTTAAAATCTGTTCCTATTTTGAATATTGATTTATTTAGTAATTACCTTGCTTCTTTTCCAAGTCTCTTTCCCTGATTTCCAAATTATGCGGAAGTTATTACTGCATGGTTGGACCCAGGTCACTTTCCAAATAGCAGGTTATTGACAGAAGGGCCACCAGGGGATTTGGAGCAGCAGCCTTAGCTGTGCCTGCCTTAAGACAGGCTGTGCCAGGACAGGGAACACAGCTCAATGAACACTTGCAGCACATGTGGGCCCACCAGACAGGTGGGTAGCAGAGGCTGCAGCTCACAAGCACTGTACAGTGCAGACTTTGGCTGTGAGTGCTGTGCCAGCCTCCATCAAACTCACACTCCTGGGGCACAACTTTAATTGAACTGAGCCTTTCCTCAGAGCTGCAGCATCAGCCTCCCTGTCACATGCCGAGCAGGAACTGTGGTTGAATGGAAACACATGGCACCGTTCTTCCATAAATAAAATCCTAACTGATCGCAGCCTTGTACCTTTTATCACCTCACTGACACATCTTGTGTTACAACTGGATGTGCTGCCTCACCTGGGACAGGGCAGCATGACAGCATTCCAAATCCCAGGGCTAATCTGTGGGCCCCTTGCTGCACAGTTCAGACTTCTGGCACCTTCACAGCACAGCAACAACTTGAATGTTTTTGCCTTTGGGCATCTAACTTTTAGTACCCAGCCTCTGCAACTGATGCAACACCACCACCCAGCACCCCAGCAATCCAGCACAGCGGGCAGGGAGGCTGCTGGAGCAGGCACCAAGAAACACTGTCCATCCACAGCAGCCCAGAATGAAAAGTACTTTTCATGCACTCAAGTGCTTGATGCTGTAATTTTCAATTATGTTCATAAACACTTCATCTGCAAGAGGAGATAGCCTCTTTTCTTTTAGCCAGTTAAAAGAACATTTGTTCCAGGGAAGCTGAGTCCCTTCTTTACCTCAGGGGACTCAGTTCTATGTGTTTGAAGAAAGAACCTGAGGTTCCAGATACACCACAGGCACACCACTGCACTGTAATGGACAAGGCCTCTGGGGGCAATTTTACTTCCTGAGAAAGAGTTACTGAGCATGTTTTCCTGAACCCCTCTTCACAGTGCTGCCTGTCATTCACAGTGGGGCAAAGCTGCAGCTCAGCCTTCTGTATTATTATGTTTAAGTAAATTCTGAAATAATCTCGAAGGGTAACTCAAACTGAGTGGCATACTGGGAAGCTACTTACTAAAGGAAGTAGTCTCATTTCTTTCGCTGATGCCTAGAACAGCTGTACTCCGTGTACACGTGAAATTTAAAATTATTAAGCACATTTAAAGGCAAAAGTGAAATTACTACAAATCATTATGGGCATATAGTGGTATCCCTCCCAAACCATCCAACCAACTACAATATACCTACTTTAGTAGATATATTTACAACCCATAAGCTAGAAGTTGTTTCTGATCTGATGTTATTTCAAACTGCAGCTAGTCAGACAAAAAAGTCCCTGCATACTCCTCTTGACTGAAGAGAACAAATCTGACAGATTTTCCCCTGCACCACCTTACTGATTTGCAAAGAAAAGATGCATAGCAATGTCTAAAAGTGTAATCTTTAAGACAATGATTATCACACTGATCCTTGTTTTCTGATGAGCACATGGCTAACATCATGCTGGGTAATATCTGTTACAGGTAAGCAAGTCACAGTAGCAGAAGAAAATATTGCTAATAAGAGAACGTACCAAGTGTTAAACATTCATTTTCACAGAAGGAATAAAGAATTCACAGTTCCTTTCTTTTAGCCGTAAAAGAAAAAATTTACCCTTTTGCTTAAAATCTGATGCAAATTTTCCCCTTAAAAAGAAAGAGTTTGGAGTTGACACTGTCACACAAAAATTGACACTTCAAGGTTATGAACAAACTAAGTTTAATCTAAACCTAGGTTTACAATTGCATCAGATGAAGAACAGTTTCAGTCTTTCCAGTCAACAAATGCAGCAGAAGCTATGTCTGTGTCAGCAAGTAATTCAATATGATAGGAGTGAATCCACAGAATTGAACAGTTGATGAAACTTCTATACCTACAGTATTTACAGTCTGGAAATGAGAGGCCCACTTTTGTCTGAAGCTCCAGACATCCTCAACACAGGCAGGTGTGGGTAGGTAGGTGGTGGTTTCAAGCTGCCTGAAAGAAACCACTGCTATGGACTCAGGTCACCATTCAGAGCTGGAGGGCACCTGGTGCACAGCCAGAGCCAGGCCCCAGTTCTGAGTTCTCCAAAAGGAAGTGAACTCAAGAGCACCAAAATGGCTTTGACAGCCAAACCAGTCTGTGAGATGAGGGGATGAGAGAGAGATTTCCAAACTGCACAAACTACATTGCTGCCACAGAAGCGGCTGGAGGTGTCCCCTAAAGAGAACATATCTCTTAGGATGTTCAGCCTCACACAGTGTTTTTAACCCTGGCTGAATCACCATTTCCTAATGAACTGTTGCAGTGTTGCAATGCTCCCAGTGGCACCAGATGGCAGAATTGTTATCAGCATGTAGAGCGGTAAGCAGCAGTAGCGATGCAATCAAAATTACAATGCTCTTAAAGTTTCATTCTACCCACAGTATGAATTTTAAGACAGACATACAAAAACAGGCTGCTCAGGAAAACCTGGAAGCAGAACTGCCACTCCTGTTGCAGATGTTTGCAAAAAACAGCTGCTTACTTGCAGAAGTTAAAAACTCCTTAATATAAAGGGGCACTAAGATACATAAGATGTAATACACTTCAAAAACACAAGCATTTTACAAGTCCATATTACAAGCCATAATGTCTATTACATCAAGATTCAACAATACAAAGCTTGTCTTTATATTTAAAAATAGAATATAAACAAATAGTAGTTCACATTAAGACAATTGCCACAGCAAAATTTATCAGAGAAAGTGCTTTACCTACAGAAAATAGCCTAAAGCCTACCAAGCAAGCTCTAAAATTCTCCAATTTAGAAGTGGTAGGAATAGAAACAAAAAAAAAGTGCAATTGACATCCAAAACTTTGCTAGAAATCAAGAACTCCAATTGTACCATGTGCTTCAGCTGATAGTCAGGTCAGCTTCATCTGAGGAGTCATTACCCCTAAATATGATACAACACACCATTTTGAAAAAGTAACAGAATAGTTGATTTACTTACAAATGGTTTTATTGAAGCTATAACTTAATAAATTTGATATTCAAGGTGTAAAGTTGTCTCACAGACTAAAAAGTAACACAACAAGAAAAAACATAAGTAACACAGATTTACTTATGTTATCCAACTGGTAGAATTGAACCTGAAGGAAGCAATTCTTTCTAGTTAAAGAATTAAGACTATCACAGGACTAAACAAACGGAGAGGGAAATACAGTAATAGAGTACTTCACAGTAAAATACCTCTTTTTTTGGAATATATTTAAAACTAGCTCTTTATTTCAGGTAAGAAAAATAGCATTCTGACTTTTAGTCAGTGCCGATTCTGAAAATTTGCAACATTCTAAACAGCTAGAAAAGTTACTTGCACCGTTGTTGCCCATTAACAATTCCCCTAACTGTCCATTCACTGCCTTTTTTTACCTTGTTCTTAAATATATTGGAAGAAATTTTTCAATAGCATTTGTATTTAGATCTTGGTTAAGACTGACAGGCTGACTTGACAGTGACTCAGCATTTATTATTATCTCACATGCAGCTTTTATGAGCTAATTTGAAAAGAGCAACATGGTTCAGGAGCTGAACTACAAAGACAATTGAGAGGGCAACTATCCAGGAAGACTGTGGTAGAACAAATCCCACTCTTCTACTAAACAGTTTAGTACTGTAAAGTAGCAGCAGTTTCAAGAACTTCTATACCTCTGTGTAAGAAAGCACTGAAGAACAGAATACTGGGATATTGCTATTAAAATTCAACCAACAAACTACTTCATATGTACATTTTTATACTCAGTACAAGTCTAGACTCTCTTGCTACACTGTAACTTGAAAGTTTAAGGTAATTAGATCATGCTGTAAACAAAGACATAAAACATTTGTGTAAGCTTTACTCGTTTAGGAGTGTGCATAAACACCTGTCTTCTAAAAAAATAAAAAAGCTGTTTAAATTTAATTTATGAGCATATAAGTAGGCAGCATATTGTAAAACAAGTTTTTATCCAATTAAAAATGAAATCTATGCATTTTATGGAAGTGTTACACAGCATTTATAATGAAGTCTGTGTTTTTAGATACCTGACATCCATTTTCAAAATGAGAAAGAATTCTCCAAACAAATGTATTAATTTTTGGTCTTGGAATTTCTTCTATTCTCTGTAGCCAATATGAAGGTAAAATACACCTGTTTAAAGTAGACTTCCATATGCAGAAGTTTTTTCAATGCAGATGAAAATGATAATGATATTACAATCCCTAAATATACAAGTTTGTGGCTGTTTCAAGCAGAATTTTAAAAACCTTTAGAAACACCAAAAATAGGCTATATCAGGAAGCAATCTGATACTCAAATAAATAGAAAATTTGCCTTTTAATGTCACATTGAATTTTAGTACATTTCAATCCAAGAAAAAAATAAACAGACATAGTAATGAGTACAGGATTATATATATTACAATATGCCTTGTTATAATACATTTGTAGCTTTACGATAAAAAAACCTGGAGGGCAGATGGAGTTCGAGCTCATAATTGTCAGAACAAAGCATTAAATGCATTTCTGGAGTAAGTACTTTTATTTAATTTCAAAACCTTTAAACAGCATTAGACCTTGGCCTTTTCCTTAAAAAACATAATTAGCTACCATGGGGCTAGCAAGTATGTCTTCTAGGTTGAAATGGTACAGAAAATGCTTTTCCCAATTTTACATATAATGAAAGGACAGGTGATTTCAAAAACAGCACCTATGGCAAACTCCACTTTGACTTTGACCTAGAAATGCATGTTACTCCACAAGGATTCCACAAGGAATCTAGTAAATTTTGCAAGTTGTCCATTTCACATTAAAGCAAGAGGAAGGGTTATCATATGCAAAAATATTTTTTCCAACTGTTCTTAATGTGTAATTGAAAACTAAAGGCATGGTCTCTTCATTATAAAAAAATAAAGGTACAACGGAAACTCTAAAGGAAGATATTCAGCTATAGTGAAGTTGCAACCCTCTGAAAGGAAGGAAAAAGAAAAGAAGTCAATTAGCTAAGCTTTGTGCTCTAACCAAACTACTTACAGTGATTTTCAATGGCAAAAGCCCATGCTGACTGGGTGATTTGACAGTTCCAAATATTTTTTGTAATAATTTTTATTTGTATACAAGGACACTAAAATGATCCAGTCATGCAATGTTCACTTTAAGCATTCTGCATCTCTTTTCCAATTTTATAGCTAAGGATCTTGTTCCAGTCAATCTTGGTGCGGGTAACTGGCAACTGTCGACGTAAGGCCTTGAAAGTAGTGTCCGACATAGTCTGATAGTTCTCACTGATAGCAGTCTGCCAAACACAAGGTCATACAAAACAGAGACAGTGAAAAACACAACTAGGATGCCACATAAACATTCTCTGACTCAGTGGCCTGCCACTTCCTAAACAGGCTTAATATAAACATGAATCAAAATAATACTTAATGAAGAAAAGCTGTTAGATATAGATTGAGACTATGTGAAGAAAATTAGTGGGACATGTAATAAACCTGGCCATAGCCAAGGTGTTTCAGCAAACCACAGTGTGGTTAATCAGCAGTATGAATACAATGCTAATCAGTTAGCTCATACATCATTAATTCCAGACAGAAACGTCCTCCACTGTTTTTCCTGTGGGGCTGCTAAAGTCAGTCCACAACATTATTTGAACTTGAATATAATGCATACTATAGACACTTCAAGACTTTTTATTAAAGAGTATTTCTTTCAAACTGACAACACAGTGTCTGAAATTTACCTTATGTTCAAAGCCTGAATGAACATGTATCCACTTCTGCAGAGGGTATCTAGAACAGATACACTTTTCTAACTTTGAAATGACTAATTGAAAGAGGTAATGCCTATAGTCATATTTAGCAAAGCTGTCTAACAGAATAGCTTCTGAACAGAATCTGTACAAAAATTCCACTTAGGGAATGCAGTAACTCTTTATGACCTCAGAATTGCTGATACTTAATCATGCAAGGAACTTTTCTACTCTCAAAAGATTACTTCTGTTTTAATGTTAGGCAGGTGAGCACAATCACCAGAAGGTGTGAAAATGAAAGACGGAATTAGCAGCATGTAAACTATTTACATGGAACTGCATTACCTTGTGGGTTATGGAATACTAGCTTTGGTTAAGTATATGGTACTCCTATAAATATGAGTAAGAATACAGTATTTGTTTCAACATACCTGATATTCATTTTCTGCAGCCTCCACAATTTTTATAAATTCCTTTGCTGTCTGGGCTTCATTCTAGGAAAAAAGCATTTGAATTAGGTCTGACATAGGACCAGTTTGATTATGTTTTCCCTATAGTTATGAGTGATGTCAGGTAGACTTGATGAGAACACTTGACCATTTAGTGGCTAAACCAAAACTGAGCATTCATCCAAAAGGCATATGCCACATGATGATGTGAGAAAAAGAAAATCAAAGTGCAACAAGTAAAAAGAATGTCATGAAAGTCATTAACATATTTTGATTAAGAATTCTATGGTGTGATAGAAAGACATACACCATTTGGAAAAATTACAGTGCACACCCAAATCTTTAAAAACATGCCAAGTATGGATAACATTATCAATGCTATGTTTCCAGTACAAATTCAAGAAAACTTCAAGAAGTTATAGTAGAATATAACCAAGAAACCAAAACAGATTTGTTTACCACTAAACATTCTGAGTCTGGAGACTAAGCTGAGGAAAACACTAGACTTTATGTATCTGGTATTCCAAGATCATCCCCAAATGCATCTTGCAAAAATGAGGATGCAAATTTCATCATGACTGGTAAGGATGAGGTCAGAAAAGAAGCTGTTTAAGGATGCATGTGTGTGTTTTTTTAAAAAATAAAATACGTCCCATCAGTCAATCTGGAGGTGTATTTGCTGAAGTGCTGAAAAGAAGTCTCCAGCAGGAAGTGAAGGTTCATGAATTTCCAAACTTCCAATTACCATTAGAGACATTCCTAAGAGTGCTTTTGCAGAAGCTGTTGAAAGTTAAGAGTGTTCTTGTCCCATGTAATCCCTCATTCCTGCAAAAGCGAACACTTGGAGAAAACTCTGACAACTTCAACCATAACTGGTTTGAAGTTTCAGTGAAACTGCACCTAACAGCTGTGAAAGTGCTCTTGGACACAGCAGGAGATATGAAGAAGGCAGAGAGCAAGCAGATGCACAAATGAAAAGGTTTTGACTTTTCAGTGAACTGAGGAAATGCTTTCAAACGCTCTGCTAATGAAAGGAAAAATCCAGAGGTATGAGGTCTTATTTGTCTCAGAGAAAAACAAGGGATAAGAAAATAACCTCCAGTAAATTATTCACAGCTCTAGCAACAAGGGAACTCTTCAGTCATTTATTTCTGTTGTGCCTGTTAATGGTTTTTAAATGGGTTCTCTGACAAACAACAAAAAAGAGGAGTCATTGAGGGTCCTTTTAATCTACCTACTATTTCTTCTCTGTGAAATAAGAACTTGTACAGCCTCTGCCCTCTATGAAGCTCACAGCCAAGGTTAAAAATTAGTAACCAGCAGCATACTTGCTCTTGTTTTAGCTAAGTTATGTAAAAGATGTTTTCCTACTCGTGGATCTACTGCTGCTTTACTGAATTGCAAAGCAGGATTAAGTTTCCTCCAAACAGTAAGGAAAGCAAAACCTATTGACAGGAGAGCTGCAAGAGTTCCCTGAAGCAACTCTTACTTGAGTGAAACACTAAATAGATCCCTTTGCTCCAGGGAGTCAGAAGTAATTTTATATCTACAGCTCCAGAAGTGATATCAGTTGGCACCACATTCCCCCATTTTTTCTGGTGCTATTTGCAACTAAAAAGCCAACAAGCCTTGCTTTATATTAACAAACAGTGTTCTTTATTGATGAATTGAGCTATTGAGCCAAATTGGCCACTGCTAGTCATTATCATTAAAATACTTCTACTGTTCACTTTTACAATTTCTCTTTGCCAGCTTAACCTCAATGTCTTAAATTTTATTAAAAAACACTCCAACAGGAAATCTTGCCATTCATAAATGCCATTATAGACATTATTTCAGAAGCAGTAGCAGCTCATGGTGGAACATTATCAATCCTTAAAAAAATACATCTGGTTCTATTTCCAAACAATTTTTATTTCTATTGTTTGCTCCTTATTACTATAATAATTCATTTGGCAAGAGTTGAAAAAAATTATGCTTTAAATAAGAAGTGTGTTATGGTTCTTAAGTTGAACCATCTCTGAAAGGGCTTTTTGTACAGAGCAAGACACTGACAGCACCAGTTACAGACAGAGAAAATGAAGGGAGAATACCCACTATTGCTTCTCAATTGATACCATTTGTTTACTATTTTAGCATACTTGTCTTCTTGCAGTGAGCAAAGGAGGCAATCTCCTAGAATGTACAACTAAAGTCAGTTGTTTTAACTCAAACCTTCTTCATATTCAAAAATCAATTGTATAGGTCATTCTGCAGACCAAAGTTTAAATACAGCAGAAGTGCAGGAAGACTGACAAGCTAATTAAAGCTTTAAAATCAAAGTTAATGTAGCTTACATAAGCCACATGCAAGCATACACTGATTTTTTTTGTACTTTTGTTTTTAAATGCACGTTAGGTAGAAGTAGTAAATACTGCATATAAAATATCTGTAAATTTGAACATTAATTCCCATACATGTAGAAGAACAAACTTCTCAAAACTTCTGAGCTTTTCATAAACTTGCCTTTTTTAAATTAAAAAAATCACTTCAATATAATTGTTAAGGTCCTTAAAGGTCACTTACAGACACTGTTAGAGAATCTTGTATGTCTTTATGGCTCACCAGCTGAACATTACCATCTTCATAATAGTGAACCTATGGAAAATTAAACAAAGAACCTCATATCAAGTTTTAGAAATCAACAACATGCAGGAAAATCAAAGTGTTGTGTTATTTATCATAGTAAGAAGCCTATACAAATCAGTCAAAACCACATACAGAATGTTACAGAACAAAACTAAAACAATGCAGAATTTACTGGTTTTGAGGACAAATACTGAACAGGCTAGTCTGGAAACAATTTGAGTTGCTGTGCCTTAAGTAGTATTTCAAGCAAAGAAGTTTAAGTTTTGGTTAACATCATGAAGATGACAACACCTTATTTAGGTGATCTTACTAGAAACTCTTGAAAGGAATAGACTAGACCATTCTAAATGGTGAAGATATATTTAAAATTATAATACTTTTGGGAAATTTTTAAAAATTATAATAGTTTTGGGAAGGTATCAGGATACTGGAAAGATATTCTGCTTGCCCAAATTGCCCCTGTTTTCTAGGGATAGTGCAATGTTAAGCTTCCCTTTCTAGCTCTGTCTGGTTTGGTATTTTCCTCTATTAGATATGTCTCAACAAATGCTGGTATTTATCTAGACAAAGCATTTCCCAATGTTAGACAGCAAACAGAGTGAAATTATTTATGCTTGAAATGCTGTATCTACAGGACAGCTTCCTTGATTATTTTGCAGGAGAACACTAAAACTCTACCCAAACTAACTTTAGTACTTTTAAATACAGTTGGGACAGATATGAAAAGGTTTAGTTCCTAATAAAACTGTTGAAAACCTAAAAATCAGGAAGCTTATATAAAACTATATGTGATCATTAACAACAATTGATATCAAAGCTATGCAGGTCATTGACATTTAAATAAGCATCTTTGAAGACTTTTTACAAGTTTGATAAAGTCAAGATAGTTAACATAGCTGATGTTATGACAAAATGAAACATTTGTGTCTCACCCTGTTAGATGACATAACATAGTTTTGAGATTAATACAAAATAGTATAATTTCCTATGCATTATGATCATATGTACAAAAGACCCTCAACTTTATAACAACAGAAAAAACATGACAGTATGACACAGATAAGGAAGGGTTTCCTATAGGAGTAAAACATTATTTCCTGTGATTCATCTTAAATTATGATTTTGCTTATTGTCAAATACTTGTTTTGGAACAAAAGGTATTAACCTAACCACAAAAGAAGTTTCTTTTCAAATCAAACATTGCTGGGTATAACCTCTGCCAGTCTTTTTCAATTCATTTCCTAAAAGATGAGAAGTGCTTACTCAGTGCATAATTCTAAGAACTCCCAAGGAAGCAGCAGAACCCAAAGTTCCCCCTTGTCCATCACGATTCACTGCAGAGAGCCCAAACCTCCCCTGTGCTCTGAGGCCAACACCACCACGAACATCTTATCTGTGTAACTGAGTCACATTCTTGGCAAACACTCAGACTTAAAAGCTTAGCTGAGATGGAGAGTCAAATCTAATTCTGGGATGTGTTATATCTTAAACAAAATACAAGAAGTAACTGTTCTGTACTATACCTCACTGCTGACATCCTTCTAGAATGCTAGGTCTGGGTTCAGAAGACTACAAGAAGGAGGATGTTTATGAACAGAACCTCTTGGAAAGGTTAACTAAGGAGGGATGAGAATAACAAATTATCTAAGAGATAAAATTAGTAACCAGTACACTTATCATTGTTTTTCATGCACAGTTGGAGCATGTTAAATGCCACAGGGACTGAGTTTTAGTAAAAGGCTCTGCTTTTGCATTTCCCCTTACATATAATTAAAGAAAATTAAACAGAAAAAGATTGTGACAATTGAGAATCTCCTACGTCAGAATTAACAGAATTTATGAAGAAAAGAAGACATTGTGGAAGAGATCTTAAAAATACTGAAGACACCTGAAAATAGCAGGTGATGCTGCAATTTCTCCCAGCTTATTAGTAAAAGGTCTTATCAGAAACAATAGTGTATTGCTGTCTAAGATTTTGCAAACAACACTGAATTTTCAGTACTCTAAAATTATACTAATGCTGTAGAGGCTTCACTTTCTAGAAAAATATTTTACTCCTTAAACAGAAAAAATTAAAATGCTTTTTTTGTTTGTTTTGTGAGGTGAAGAGAGAGCATTCCCAGAAGAAATTGTACACAATTTCTAAAAATTTAAAACTCAGTTCAAAATTCCTTGGTGAAACAAGTAGTTACTACACAAGCAAAAAAGTAGAACTTTTCATCACTCTCCAGAACACAGACTCTAATGAATATAAATAACGGCTTGATTAATGATGTGAAATAGTACTAAAAGACAAAATCATCTGGTGCCCAAATGGAAAAACTGAACCTGGATAAATTCCTCATTCAAACCGTTATTTTGGCTGCTGCCCTAACCTTTCCAAGAATTAAGTGGACACCTGCTTCCTTGTTCTGGAAAACCTCTTAAGACATTAACCAAAAGTGCACGCTGTGGAAAAAAATGCCTGATTTGCTGCAAGTTGGATTTAAGTGACAAAGTCTTGAGAGGCCTAGAAGTAACTTAGGGTGCTGCTTACCATGACTGTTGTGATCTGACAACATAATAATGGCTGCTCACATCTTGGCTATCATTCCAAATATTAGCACCAGCATGGGAAAGCAGATTCAGGGTGCCCTTGCTTGGGTTAATCTAAACACAGCTACCACATCCTAAAATAACATCCTAGCCTCCAGCTAGAAAAACATTCCTTTGTATCTTCCTTCTGCAGTCATCACTGAGCAGTAAGGACAAACAAAACTCATGGGGGCACAAAAGCAGCAAGAAAAATAAACTTTACTTTGTTGTGTTTAAAAAAAAAAAGGAAAAAGGTACTACACAGAAAGTCAGACTGCACTAAGTTTCTAGTCCCTGATCCCAGAACTGTTCCCATTAACTGCTGCAATGTATGTGCACACATTCCAGGGAACCAATCCAGGAAGTTGAGTCTCCCTGCCTACCACATGACAGTCAGACTTCCTTTGGTCTCAGAACTTCTGCCTGTTTGGAATTCTTCCTGAATGCCCTAAAGCCAACAGGAATGAAGAATAAAGTGATTCAAAAATTTCTGATGGTGGAATTGGTGAAATGAAAGGTTTCCACCTTTCTGAGCAATATGATAACATTAAAAAAAACCCCACTATCAGTTAAAATGAAAAAAAATTCTACTTCAGAACAGGCCTACTCTCAGGAAGGGCTTGTCTCACTGTGAATTCAACAGGAAACCAAAGGCCTAGCTGAGGTGAATACACCTTCCTAAGTCCTGTGAATCATTACATTAAACACTTATTTTATGTTTTTAAGGATTAGATAAATACGCAAATTAAGTCACTAACACTTAAGTGAATGAGCATTGCTGCCTTGCTTATTGTGTCCCCATTTTCCTTTAACATATTTGATACACTGGCCTGAGTCTCCCTTGATAATGACTGGAGACTTTATGGCTCAAGACACAGTTTGAGATAAGCATACCTGAATTTTCAAGATGCCAGCCACTTGAGTGGTTGAAGGGGTGATTGTAAACTTCCATTCTGACCTCCAACGGCCATTCCTTAAAAAAACAGTAAAACAGAAGTTGGATGTCACCCCATCAGTTATGAAAAAAAATCCCAACATACAACTGATAGGCAAAGGAAACCAGAGAATGAAATTTGCAGTGCAACTACACATGCAGAAAATCTTCCCCTAAAGATTCAGCATCGTAATCAGTCATAAAGAGAACAGAACTGTTTCCCAAAATATTTAACCCCAGTTTTTGATGTGGACCAAGGAGATTTATTATTAAGGACCTTTTAACATGAGGACTTAACTTCTGAAAATACCTAAAGCCTCCAATGTTCTTTCTCTCCTGTAGTATTAGTTAGGCACACAGAGTCAATATTTTGTTTCTAGGACGTGGATGTTTTGCTAGATCAGCCGAAGTCACACTTCACCTCAGGCTATCAAAAACTTAAATGGAAGGAACATTAAAGTAGCAAGACTTTCCTGCTGCATGTAACTGTAACTAGGCCTTTCAGCTCTTCTAGCATTTCCCTTCCAGGACAACTATTTCCTTCCAGTTTCCTTCCACAAATTCAGAATCCTTGCCAAAATGCCTAAAGGGAGTTTCAAACACCTGGAAAATAGTATGGCGAGTAGTTTGACCTGATTTCTTTCCTGTAAACTAGACACAATCTTATTTAGTGATGAGATTAGTGGATTAGAAAATTGGTACTATAGAGCTGAATTAAGAAAGCACTGCATCAGTCCATGATTTGTTTTGTGTTTGCACTTAAAGAAGGAAAGCAAGTTGATAGTAGGTGTTCCAATGCTGCTAATGTTAGGTGTAGATTCCAGTGCATTCAACAAGGGGAGAGAAAGACATAAAATATTAAAATTAAGAGCTACTAACAAATCTGTATAATGACACAGATAGTAACAATGGTAACTATAAAGCCATTGGTTATTATTTTGGACAATATCCAAATTATCACTCAAAATATAGACTAAGTTGGCATTGCTAAGAAAACTGAAAGGATTGCCCAACTTAGTTTCACTAATACTACTAGTAGCCTTACAGACTGACCCACTGGTTATGAGAAAGCTCACATGCTGGATTATTCCTTGGGGACAATTCTAGTTCTCGAATGCCAGGGATTCAGTGGCTAGCTAACAGATTTGTTTGCTTCTCAGCCAGTCTGTGGTCCCTTGAAGTTAACATGACCACAGTTTTTTCCACTCTAGGATATTGTTTTTGTCCTTAAGTTGCTTTTAAAAAAAAGGAAAAAATTCAAGTTCAGAAGGATTTTTGTGTAGGAAATGCTCTAAGGTAAAACCAACACAATTTCTTTATTTAGCTTGGCTGACTTAGAATGTTTTGTAAGAGATTAACTTTCCTCTTCTTTCCTTAATAAGCCATATATCCTACTATGTTGATAGTATTTCAAATAATCACAAAGTATTGCTTTGGTATATATTGGTTTTCTATCACCCAACAAACGTACTCCCATAGTAGGATGACAGACTTGCAAATGCCTAAAAAGCAGGAACACCTTGGGAATAAGTATTGGCTGTGGCTTGGGCTGGATAAGCAGCCATACAGCTGGTTAGCTGAGGAATCTGGTTAACTTGGAATAACTGAGTAACTGAGGAATCCTAGTTAACTAAATCTCCCAAACCAATATGCATTTATTACAACTTGCTAAGAACAAGCATTAGAGTCTGACTACCCCTGAAAAACTCTTAAAAACATGGTCAAATATTTACCCATAGATGCCCAATCATAACTTTAACAAAGAAAACTTTCAATAAAGATTTTCTCCATCTATAAAAGGTTGCTACATATCTGTTCCTCTTAAAAGACTACAAAATTAATTATTTGGAATACCAAAATTCATTCATACTTCCAAACTAAAAAAAAAACCTGAAAGTATTATTTCAAGTTACTTCTAATATTGATGTAAAACATGTAGACTTAACAAGTCAAGTTTAAGTCAGTAAGAAAAAATATTTATTATCTGTGCAAATTCAATAAAAATCAGTGTACTGGGCAAATAACTGATACATACGCATGCTGAAATTACTATGGAAATGTAATATCCACCTTCAGAATCAAAACCCAAAGACTTCAGTACTTCAATTCATTACCTGAGGGATTACTAATATAAATTGCAAGCAGATGCAAAATAGCAAACTAAATAATGAAATAGCTTTTATATGCAATTGTCAGAAGAAAGGTATCTTTAGGATATTACAACCTATTCTTGATACTGTGCTATTTTATGTCAACTCTGGCCAGTTTCCTGTATGGAGCTATCCAAAGTTCACTCCAGACTGTGGAAAAAATAATGAAATACCTTGCTTCTGACAATTGCATATAAAAGCTATCTTTAGGATATTACAACCTATTCTTGATACTGTGCTATTTTATGTCAACTCTGGCCAGTTTCCTGTATGGAGCTATCCAAAGTTCACTCCAGACTGTGGAAAACATCATTCAACCAAAGCCAGGAGGAAAAAAAAATAAAAAAATCTGCAGTTTGTAAGATTTTATTTCATCCAAAATCACCTTTATCTGTCTAACCCCAAAACTGATCACTTAAGTCCCACTATACAGTGGATTTTTAGTAATTTTCTTTCTCTGAGAAATTCAAACTAGAAGGAACTGTTCTTATTCTGTCATTCAAAAAGGAAGCAAAACAAGCCAAAGCAACTGTATTAGGGAAAACAGCCATGAATATTGGTGTCAGTGTGATAAACAGGAAAATTAATCATGTATGTCATATGTGTAATATGGAATTTTGCAAAGTTCTGCAAAGGACATGCAGCTACACAGTCTACCATTTTACTTACCACAACAGAAGAGATTTCTACGGTTTTAGCAGAAAAATTTGTGAGTGGAGTGGAGGGAGAAGAAGGGTCCCAATCAAGATATGCATCCACCTTCTTCTCTGAACTAAGTATTATCAGTGTAATGGCACTTATTCAGTTTGCTGTATTTTACTGCCTGTGGATCCACACAAACTTACCAAAAATTTTTTGCTTGAAACTGATGGCTCTCTATGCATGCAATAATGGTTTGCTGTCCATCAATCGTTTTACCATACACCTTAATTAGGAAAAAAAAAAAAAGAAAAAGACGCAAAAAACCAAATAGTCAGTTAGACCTTGGTCAAACTGCTTAGGTACCTGTTTCTACTATTTTTACATGAACTAAAATTTCATTTTGTAACAACCATTATGGTTAAACCTAATATTTTTACATGAAACAAAGTATTTATTACAATGCAGAAAATGTCTTAAGATTTAAAAACCTGATGGCAAATAATCTTAACTAAATTTTATATATTGTGAACTCCTTTTTCTACCACTACAGGAATTCTAAGCCTATAACAGTGACTACTGAGACAATATACATTTATTACCAGCTGGGTTTCAAACACCAGTTATCCTACCAACGATATGACAATTTAAACCTGTACAGAATAGCAAAAAGGGTGGGTTTGGTCCTTTTTTCTCCTTTATCCCCCCAAAATCAAATACTAGTAAAAATTATCTCAGAGAACATCCAGTCTGGTTTCCTTTACAGGAACTGGAACTCATCTGACTGTCTGGGAATCCAATCCAACCTGTTAACTCAGCAACTGATTTACTTTTTCCCCCCCTAGTTAATTTTTCTGTCACATCAAGCACAGAACAGCTATCAATAGATCAGTTTGCTGAGATTTAAATAGTCATAGGGCTTATAACAGCAAGCAAATACTATTTTAGTCCAGACTAAGAGGTTTTATTTTAAGAACCACCAATTCTGGTGATAAGAATACAGCACTTGGATATAAAGGAGATATAATGGAGCAAAATCATTTTGCTTTCTTAAGACTGTTTTGTCAGTAAATCAAGCCAAGATAGACATTTCTATTTTATTGAATTTTTCTCCCATTCTAAGCAACCAGTCAGACAGCCAAGATCAGCAGGATCAACCTGCAGTAGTCCACAAAATGTCTAAATGCACTACAAAATTTAAATAAAAATGCTCAAATACAGAGGTAAATCTTCACTGTTACCTGCAGTAACCACTTGCTAATAATCCAACAGCTAAAACATTAATTTTCTGAAGCTTTTCTGCATTTCAAGCATTTCCTGCATGAACCCCCAACAGGAATAAATTCTTTACTGTCAAGACTGCCTGTCTTTCTGCTTTACAAATAGCTCCCTTTTAAAATTTGTATCTATCTATAGTGGTACAGTGGTTATGTAATTTATCACTTACTGTGCAGACACCATTTGGATAGTGTTCCTTCACATATGCTTTCATTGCTGTTTCAACTGAATTTCTCCAGGACTCTATGGCATTTTCAACTTCATGGGGTCTAGGATCAGTAGCCTCCTTTCTTAAGTGATCAAATTTAAAAGAAATCTTGTTCTTGGGATCCAGAAATTTTCCATTTCCCAAATCACCATGTTCTGTTATCAAAACCTGTATTATAAAATTTAAATTTCACTTATATATATATATATTTATATTATATCAGATGTATTAAATCACAAAATTAGTTAATAACATTTGCTATTCAGTAAAATAAAAAAAAAAGCCACGCAAAATCTAATTATATCCTGCATTTAATGGGAGCTTATTCATTAAAACTTACATTTTAAACAAAATGTGCATACAGCAAGAGAGGAAAAGGCAAATATGATACACTGCCTCAGAAAAACAAATCTTGACTTTTACTCTCTTACTGCAACAAGCCAGGCAAGACAGAAATTCATGTCTTCTACTACTAATGATGGAGCAAATAGTTTTAACAGCTACAAAACACTGAATTCAGCCAATGCTGCTGACTAAAATTTCAAGCTCTTTAGATACCCCTGAATAATTAACTTATGGGACTGGTACTGGTACTACTGAAGGAGCACAATCTCTACGTTTTGGTAGGGCAGACGCATTTCTTTTAATTTTCTTGCCAAGAACTGTTCCAATAGCAGAACATCTTTAACAGTTTAAGGAAGATTGCAACTATTCCACTGTATTCCTACCTGTTCGTCGTAACCGTCAATTTTTACAGGAGTAAACTGGTCCAAGTTGTACTGTGCAAATGCACTACAAGAGAAAAAAAAAAACACCAAAAAAAGCCTGTATCAACAATCTGTTTCCTTAGTAGCACTTAAGGGATATAAATAATAGCTAATAATCTGGGCAATGATGCATTAAAAAACTGTATTAATGCTTCACCTAGCAGGCCAAAATTCTTGGAATCACTTTATGACTGTATTACAGATTCCAACTGCCAATACACAAAAATTTACATTCAGAAGTAAACTGATGTAGACAAACACCTAAGCTTTATAGTAACCCATAGAAACTGGAGGAACAGATAAAGTTTAAATTCCACAGGGATCAAACCTACTAAGTCACCTATCTCCACTCTTACAGAAGAAACTAATTTTGGCATCAAAGTACAGTAGGCATAATGTTCTAATACAGAAGGAGGGTCTAAGGATGCACTATCTTACAGATGTTCAAGTAACATCTACCATGAAACAGGAAATAAAGGTGCTCTAATCATTAGGATACAATACAGATCTCTCCTCTGCCAAGAATTTAATCTTGATCAAAGATGCCCAACACACACAATAGGGTTTTACTTGCCAAGCACACATCTTTAAATGAACTGCTTACTGATTATGCAAGTTCTACTGAAAAAACATCTTGCTGTTATGCAACTGAGTGTGTGACATCTGGTACTTACTGGGCTGCTCCTTCCCTGAGAAGATTGTCATTATTAAGCAGCAACCGAACATCTGAAAGGAGTATTTACAACAGGTAAATACAGTTAACTCAGAAACTTGTTTCAGTCACATAACAAGTATCAACAGACTGTACAAAACAAACAAACAACAAAAAAAACCCCAACCCCAAAACTACTCCACACCCACAGAGATTACTAGGTAGGAAATTTATTACTTCATATGATATAATTTTCACTGAATTAAATTAAAATAATAGTACAGAAATTGATATCTTCCAAGACAATCTGGCAAAGAGATTTAAGCTGTATTCTACAGGCTCTAGGAATCTGTCAATCTAGTTTTTAGAGAAGCTCTGAGAACAGCACAGAATTCTACCAAGTTTCCTTTAAAATGTATATCACCAACTCCCTCACCCTATATTATTGTTACTGTATTCTGATGACACTGATATGGTGTGCATTGAACTTACTGGTTTTTAAGCCCTACCATTTTCAGTCTCATTCCTAAATGACACTTACTAGACAGAAGATTATACACCACAACAGCATTTTTTCTACCATGATACAAGAAACATATGAATATAGAATAAAATCAGTACTCTCCTCAAAATTACTTAATATTTATTGTGCAGCAAATTTCTTATTTATGTACTTGACTTTACTAGGCACTGTCTGAATACAATTTCATTTACTGCTCATTAACTAATCAATCATTAGTCTCGTCCAAATATATTAAACTTCTAAATATTTCCAAGGTATCATTCAAGTGAAAAGTAAAAAAAAAAAAAATCTGGAATATATTTAAGGTATTTTTTTTCTTTAAAAAACAAACAAGCAAACCCTCCTGAAAGAAACCAAACTCTCACCCAAACCAAAACACAAAATATTCCAAAGCAAAAAAAACCACCTCACATACTCAAAAAACTCCACACAAAACCAACCAACTAAACCCACAATTTTCTGAATTGGAATTAAAAGCTTTCTCTCCCTTTTTAACAAGGCAGCCTGAATCTCACTGAACACTGGTCAGGCATTTGTGATCAAATGTGCATTGTGTTTTCAAACACATTGTACCCTGCTATTGAGCAGGTAGTTGCAGCTATGAATTACCAAAACAATGAAGTTTATAAGCAGTACTACACTAAGAAATTGTAATAAACTTCAGAAAGCTGTGTTAGTAAGCTGCTCACTTCAAAAATGAAGTACTGTTTTTAAATAATAATCAGCTGGCTACAGTTTAACTAAGAACAAGGTACTTGTAAAAGCATTGCATTCTTTAATAAAGTTAAGCTCTCTCCAGTCTGACACTGACTACAGGTTTAGTATACCAAATTTAGTTTTTTACTTAAATAACTTCAGAAACATTTGTAAGCCACAATTATAAAGCCTGCCATTTTATACTATATGTATGCCCAAATATCCTGATGACAGACAAACAACAAATTTTCTAACAAATAATATCTTATGTAAAGTTCAGTTTACCTAAACAACAGTTGAAAGAAGCTTATTTTAAGTTTCCTTTCAGTTTACCAATACACTCAGTAAAATGGAGTGCACCCAGAACTTAAAGGTTAGAAATATTTGGAGAATATTAGTATTCTTTCCACAACTGGCAATAGGCAGTAGTCTTCTGTGTATTCAAAGTTAAGTATTTGTAATTATATTCTTTCTTTAAAAAAATGACCCTTTTTAATTTCAGCTAGTTTAATTTTTGTTGAAAAACATAATTGCCTATCAAATATGAAAAATAAGAGTATCTGTTTTCTAGCAGAAACCCTTACAACTGTTAATTCATGACTCATTCAAAACAAAGCTTGTTCTCACATCACAAAGAAAAGTAGTACTTCCCTTGTTTTGCATTTAAACTTCAAGCTGTCTTGTGACTGCAAAGCTTATCATGCCCAGCTACAAAACCAGCCCTTGCAGCAAGGGAGCTGCTACAATATAATCTACATGAAATTCAGGAGAATAATCAGTAATGCAATTTTGGATATAGATACCTTAAATAAAAGGGCAGAGCAGACAGATACTCACCATTGAACACCTCATTGAATTCCCCAGGAGGAGCATGAATTATGAATTTTGCTGCTATACGCACCTTAAATACAAAAACAATCATGTGGTTGTATACTTGCATTCATTCCTATTCAAAGCAGGTAAGCATTATGAAGTTTTAACAGCCAGACATGAAATTGTATAACTGTTTCACATATTTGTTCTTATTATTTCAACTATTTGGTCTTTATTAAAAACACAGATTATAAAGTTCCATCTCTTCAAACACAACAGAGATTATATGTGATGGAAGCAGATGGTGAAATTGAGTCATTCATGTTTTCTTTTACTGGCAAACAGGAAAAGATGACTTTAACAAATAAGATTACCAATATATTCACCATCCATGTCAGCTTTCAGTCCATGGGTATCTGGGAATCAATACAGAATCCAAGAAAGCCAAAAACCACGATGAAGATGTATTTGATCTTCAAAGCTTCTCTTTCAATTTTACTACCTATCATATGGTTCTATACTTTCCAAAAGATCCACACTGACAGATGATGAAGATGTATTTGATCTTCAAAGCTTTTCTTTCAATTTTACTACTATCATATGGTTCTATACTTTCCAAAAGATCCACACTGACAGATTAAGCTTAAAAACACTGCATAGACACTAAAACTCGTAATTTCACCTGCATCTACTTAAGACCTGTTAGTACCACAGTACCAGCAGATAAAGCTTAAAAAGCCCTTGAGCTCTTAATTAGTAATTAATGGCCTTCAGCCACAACTTCTTGCACAGCAAACACAGAATAAGTCAGTATTTTCACTGAAAGTATGCACACCTGCCCTGGCTTTCTCTTTCCTTTGGCTTGCACAAACCCTTGTACAACAGCACAATGAGCAAAATCAGGAAAGTTATTGCTCTTTTTTTTCAGACCAGGTCCCTTAGCTGGTTCACTACACAGCTGCACACATACATGCCTGCAAAAAACCCACAAAAATATTTTCTAAATGTGAAACAACTTTTAAACTTCTCCACTAAGTGACATTCTTACTTGCAGTATGTCACTTAGTGGACACACTTCGATTCATTCTTTTTCCCCTCTTGCATTGTTAAAGGCACCCATTATAAAAACGAACAAACTAAATATTGGTTCCCTAACTTAAGCTTGTAGAAATTCCTGTCCTTTACAGTTATCCGAGTTCACCAGACACTTAAAGCTCTCTCGCATCCTCGACAGGGCGTTGCTATTCAAACACAGGATACTACTTGAAACAGTTTCCCTTTCCAACACCTTATATCATGTATCTATGGAATGAAGAGCTGGAAAATTCAGTGCCTGGGAGCACCATTTGAAATTAAGGTGGGCTCTGTTCTCTTAGAGATGCCTAAACAGCTGCCTGCCCATGGCAAACAGTGAATTCATTCCCTGTTTAGCTTTGCTTGCATGCACACCTTTTGCTTTCTTTCTTAAACTGTCTTCATCTTAACCCATGAGCTTTCCCACTTTTACCCTTCCGATTCTCTCTCCGATCCCACTGGTGGGACAGTGACTGAGGGCTGTGTGGGGCTTGGTGGCTTGCCTGGGGTTAAACCATGACACCAATTAACAGGGTCATGGATCAGCCCTGAAAAGCAAGTATTTAGTTGTGTGATTTCAGCATGACTGTCACTGGGGTGACTCCCAGCTCAAGATGAAGGAACAGCATTCCTTGATTCCTTGACTTCAGGTGAACAGGACTGCTCACCCCTGCCAAGGCCAGGTTGGGCAAGCAGAGAAACAAGACCTAGAGACATGTGGAGCTGTGAAATAACAGGTTCGTCAGTTTTGGGCTGCTATAGAAGCAAAATTAAGCAAAACATGGGTGCCCAAACTGCACCCTGAAAGGCCACATGCTTTAAACTGGTAACACCTGTAAGGTGAGACATTAGGGCTACACTAAAACTGGACCACTACCTCATTTTCAGCTGGTTTTGGTAATATAAATCTGGTTTGCTTATTTTTTTCCACTATCAGTAAAAACTATTCTTATCAGTCAGATTAGCTACACTGTAAGTAATATTCATTCAAAAGCATTCAGAAGTAACAGATGTCCTCACAACAGACCAACCCAGATGTTACTTTTTACAAACATTTTACAAGTAAATTCAATTTCTCATTGATAGTTTTTTGTGTAAAATTCATCATAGATGAAACGTTTTATAGAACAGATAAACAATCATGCAAATTTGCAATAAATATCTCAAAGTATAAAGTATATTCATGTTCACAAAAGCAAAAAAATCCAACAACATGTTTTCAGAAGTTGAGAGGGTGTCAGCTAAGACACTGTATTTTGCTCACCTGCCTTTGTGAAGCCAATTTAAAAGTAATCCACTTTCCTTCAGCAATTAAGCTGAATTAACTTCTCTGTGATGAGTATCTGACAAAACCATTATTTCCCTAATTCAGACATACAGGAGTGTATGAATTAAGAATTAAATCCAATAGTATCATTTAACACATTAGAACTGAAAAGCAGTTACAGATTTATTGCCACTGAATTTTCCCAGAAATACATGCTCTAAAGGAGGCTTCTGTTTTTCAAACCAGACTGATACTGAAGGATAAATGAGTGCACTTCCATGAACCTCTACATGATGAAGATTTCCCCCTTTTGGCAGCAAAAAGCCTCAGGTATCACTTGGAGAAACACAGTTAAAACAAAGGGGTAGTCCATATAAAATATGATGTTCATGGGCAACTAAAAAAAGATAAATTAAAAATGCACATAACTTGTAATGCAAAGTGAGAGGCAAAAAACTAAACTGCTCCTCAGTCAAACTGAGATAGGAAGTTATATCTGCTGAAAACAGATTAAAGAAAACCAATCAGGTGCATGACAATTGCAACCAATGCTGACTGTTCAATGCACCAAGACTTCTAAAAATTGATTTGAGCAAGCCAAAACAGAAACATCATAATAGCTTAAGAATCCAAATGACAAAACCTTTTTCAAGAGAACTGCACCTTTACACACAGCATAAGAAGCTTATACATGTATGAGCAAGTAACAAAAAATTGTTATAGTTGAATCTTCCTTTAGAAAACTCAAAGACATAAAATACCTGAAGTTTCTCCACTTATTACTGTAGTTGCTCCCAAAACACTACCTAAAGTTAAAGTTTTATTGATGTAGATTTGAGTTAGTTTTCAGCTTCAAGTCTTCAGAATAGCAAGAAACCATAAACTTCAGACTTCACTAATCCAGAACATCTGATCACCAGTGGTTTACAAAAACACAGCTTTTACCACAAACCTATGTAAGGAACCATGCGTTTTCTATATTAAATTTCTTGAATGCAAAAAAATCCCATCTACACATGTTTTTATGAATCGTGTCTTTGTGCAGGTTTGAGCATTAATTTGGACAAATCATACAGAAGCTGAGAGCAAGTTTAAAAAGAAAAAGCACAAAAATTACTTCTGAAACACTGAGAAGGGAAGCATTCCCCACTGCAGCCACTCTATTTATCCAGTTTTCACATTTACACCACTCACACTCTTACTTAAATTGAAGCCTGCTCTCAGTAGGTAAGAGCTAGCAAGATTTACTTTCACAATTTAAGTGAAGTCAAATACTACCCATCACATCAGTTACAAGTTTATAAAATCAATAAGCTTGTAGGTTTGATAAAGTAAACTATTTCAATTATGGTAAAAATTCATAGAGAATTAATAGAGAAGCCTAGCAAAAGAGAAAATGACAGAATTGTTGTATGTGATTAATACAATTATTAGGCATTACGCCTAATTCTTTATTATGCTAGGGATTAAAACAATTGATCGATCCTACACTCAGTTACAACAATATTTGCAGTTTTCAGACTACACAGCAAAGACTAATTAGTAATGTACAGAATGGTGGCAGTTATGCTAAATCTATTTTTTTTTCCATACTTCTGCCTTTATTTCACAATTTAATTTTTCTCAATGCATGATACCCATCCGGTACGTAAGAAAAATCCTACTCCTCCATCTTTTGCAGCCTAAGCCATTCTGAAGTTTATTTTATTTTAAAGCAGTCAGACACAGCGGCTTCAAATGCCCCGAGGTGACTCCTCCTGTTCCTGCCCCACGAGGAGTGACACAGGCCGGAGCAGCCCACCCTGCGCTCCGTGCCTATATATGGTCACGGGGAGCGCTCCCAGCCAGGGCTCCGCAGCGCCGCCGCCAGCTCGCTCCTCGCACCCTGCTACGGCCTAACGCTAACAGACACATTCAAGCTCTCCCGCTTCCATTTTTCTTTCCTCCCTTTTAACCCGACTGAAATACAGTTATTTCACAGTTTTGTTTGCTGGGCACCCTGACAGCTCACTCCTTCAATGAACATCCGTGCTGCACAGAAAAAACCACGCTGATAAGCAGGACACTGTGAAACCATATACTCACCCTTACACAGAAATTCAGCTGTGAACGCTTTGCAGCGGGGAGACCCACCCCTTCCTCTACAGTGCTAACAGGTTAAAGTTCACTGCTCCACAGCAATAAAAATTAAATAGTGAAATAGATACTAGAAGTCCTTTTTTACCTAAGAAAGTGCATGGAAATTAGGGAGAGGGGGGAAAGGGAGGAAGACTGAGGGCATGCAAAAGATTCCACAATAATTTCCACTCAAAGGCAACTTTGTTGCTAATCACAGAGCTCCCCAAAGTTACTTTTATCACTGTTACAGCAGGCTCAAAGCATTGTACATCATGCATTTACATTCTGGATTCCTGAGGGTGCCTTGCTATCTTACAACACACAATAAATCTCCCACTCTCAGAAACCTGTGTTTGGCAAAAAAAGAAGATGATGAGATATCACATCCAGAAGGGAGCTCCAGGAACAGCAGAGACTAGAGGGCTCTGCTCTCAGTCATGCCTTCTGTGTAGTTCTTGTTAAAAACCTGTCTGCAACTAAACAAATGGGTTTGTCGTGACCCACTTAACTCTATTTACAGGTAGCTACAGGGTTTTCTCACAATTAGCTCACAGTCACATAAATATTAACACAGACATCAGTCAAATGAGGCAAGTTTGAATTTTCTCAAGATCTGTAAGTCACACTCA